CTTGAGGCCTAAGTACATACAGTACCTTTGTGCACACTGATGAGCATATCACCCATTGGGTGACCATTTATATCCACTGGGTGTTAGCTAACGGCTAGCGAGCTGTCATTCATTCTCCCAATGATTCACTCTTAACCATTCTTTTCCTTCAAAATTGCTCCAAAATTTATATAAATATTGTTTTACTTCTTTTCCCTACATATCTGCATTTTAAGAGTCCAGTGCCTTTTCTCTCAGCCTGCTTTTCAGTCTCTCTGCTTTCCGTTGCCTCCTCTCTCTCCTCTCCTTTTGTCTCTCTGCCTTCAGAATCACATTCTTTCTGTTCATTTCTCTCTCTGTCCTCCTCTACCATTCATGTTCTTTTTCCTTCTGTATTTATTGCCTGTCCATTTCTGTGTGACTCCACGTGTGTCTCTCCTGCAAATGTGTGTCAAAAATCATTTTTTGTGTGATTATATAAACCAGTTTAATTCAATCCTTTTGTTCGCATCATTTTAGATCTGAATTATAAAAATGTGTCTAACAGTACCAAAACAACACATATTTATGCATTAATACAAGAAATTAAAGTGATAACATTCCTTTTTGTTGTTAAATTGAGGCTATATATTTCACTGTAATAACCAAGAAACATATGCATTAATCTCTGTGGTAATTAGGCCTCCATTACTTGATTTTGACAACAGACGGATATAATGCAGATACAGTCTCAGGCACAGTGGGCAGTAACCACGCTCCCTTTGCCACCTTCATCACTCTCTTTTTTTCCCCTTCATCTCATCAACATGTCCGGTATCTTATGCTTTTGCAGTCTTTCCGGTTTCTTCTGTGTCACTGATTGCTGTGTTAATTAATATTTATCAGCAGAATCTTGCAAATAAATGCACGAAATATAAGGAGCCCTACTCTTTCAAACCTGCTTTTCAACTCCACACACTGAAATGATACTACTGGTTCATTAGTCTGACACTGGATTGATGGAATTATTGCTAGCTTGCAAACTAGTTAGATTTATTCAGTAACAAGTCAAAGTCATGACAGTCATGCATTGCTTAATGTAGCAGGACCGAACGGGAACCATTCAGATGATTTCTAAGTGTAAGCGGCAGTGAGCTACAAGCAGTCAAATAGTACAATTTTCCAGTTACTAGCATCACATATTGGGAAAATGGGGGTTATATTTATTGATCAAATGAGAGAACCGCTTGTGTTGAATAAAGATTTTGTAATAAAGGCAGGATCACCAAAGTAGATGCCTATATGTAGATGTAGACAGCCTATATAACATAATACGAGACAAGGCAACATGCACAATTACTTTAACATTGTGTCACCCCTGAGTTTAGTTGAATCTAGAAATATAACACATTATGACAGGCATTAAAAATTGTATTTCTCCTAAAGAGCGTTTAGCCAAAGACTTGCATATCTTGGCATGCTGTGTAGCGTGTCCTTAAAAAACTGGACAAGTGGGGGAGAAAATAGGAAGTGGAAGCCTAAAAACTATTTGCAGCAGAATAACAGGACCTTAAAGACACATACTTAAAACATAAGGAAACAAAACAAAACAAACAAAACACACAGAAGACCTTGAACCCGACCTGAAAGTTAATTTCAAAGTCAATTTGTTGTTCAACGAAGCCTCTTCAGAAATGGTCTCAGTGGAAGGGCAGCTGTCAAGAACTCATTTTTCAGTAAAGGAAACAGGTTGATGTCTGACAAACTGCACAAGAACTGGAGAGATAAATCTAAATTTTAAAATTTTGGATTTTGGTATCAGTGATATGTATGGACAAGGTGAAGAGAGAGGTGCAACAATGAGTCATAGTAAAGGCTCTATCATGGTTTTGGGCTGCATTTCAGTCAGTGGTGTTGAAGATCTTCTCAAACTTGATGAACTAGAAAAAAAAACATACCATCAGATTTTTACAATACATGCAACACAATCTGGAAACCATCCGATTGGCAACATATTCAGTTTTCAGAAAGAATATGATGCGAAAAACACAGTAAAAGCATGCCTGGATAGAAAAACATACATTATTGAAGCAGTGTTGGATCATTTTGATAGAGCTCAGGAGGTAGAGCAGGCTATCTTCTAACTGGAAGGTTGGTAGTTCGATCTACATGCCAAATATCCTTGGGCAAGATACTAATCCCAAGTTCCATCGATCCATTAGAGAATATGCGTGAATGTTAGACGGAAAGCACAATGTGCCTGTATGAATGAGTGTTCATACAAGCACTGGGTGAATTAGGCAAGTTGTATGAAGTGCTTTGAGTTCTCAGGTAGAGTAGGAAAGCTTTATATAAGAACAATTTCCCTTTTTTTCTTTACAGAGAACAAAAAGCAGCCAACATCCAAAAGAGCTTCGCCCTTCTAGAAACTGAAGAAGAATTCCTGGAAACTAATTAAAGAACTAACCTCAAGTTTAAGAGTAATAAAAAATAAAAGAAAGCTTCTAAATATTAAAGTTGGTCATAAATCGCTGCACCTATTTCCCATTTCTCTAGCAAAGTGTATATAAATAAGGAATGAGTCAACACTTTTGCACAGTACTGGAAAACTGGAAATAAGTAAAAAGTTATTAACTTAATAACAGTGGGTGGATGATGGAAAACTGCTGAAGTGAAAGCATTAAAACACATGAGCAAGATGAAGGTGAGAGTCTGCTAGTCGTAATCTACTGCTAGATATAGCCTTTCAATGTCAAACATGAAATCAACATTTAATGTAAGGAAGGTAGGAACAGAAAGCTGCACACTCAACCTTTTTGCCATTTTGTAAAATATCTTCATATAACCGCAAAAAGCCCCGACAGAAGATGAAATGTGAGCTTTCAGTGCTCAGCTAATGTGGTCTTGTCATTGGCAGAGCTATATCAATAACCTATCTGCAGCTGCAGTTGTTGTGCTAGCACAGCAAACAGTGGGTAGACATCCGCACTTGTGCCTTCCTTTGGGAAGGAGAGGGAAATCAGAGAACTAATCAGCAGCAGCTAGGACTGTGGAGGTGAATGCAAGTGCAACAAGCTCGTGATGCTGATGGGAGCTGACAATGAGAATTGGGAGAGGATCAGGAGACACCCTTACTTAAGCTAGCTGTTTCCTCAGCCTGGAAAACTTTGATTTAATGTAATGGAGTCTTCATCAGGAGGGAATGAAAAAAAAAAACAATGGGAATTTGGAAACTGTTTGCTTGGAAGGCCTGTGAAATTAAGATGAGAAGATTGGAGGGTTTGTTTGTGTGTGTTTATAAGGTAGTGAGGAACTCTGGCTCTGAAAATATGTTTCTATATTTTTCTGAAACAGTTGGGTACAATGCTTGTTCTTGTTCTCTGATGTTTGCAGAGTTGTTTGGGCTGCGTAACAACAGCGTAATTAACGTCCCAGGGGTGTAAATAGCAAATAAATTAATACTAATTCTATGCAGAGATGTACAAAATAGCCTCCATTTTTAGTAGCTTGTTAGCGCGTGCACACACACAAACACGCACACACACAAACACACACAAAACGGTGGCATGTACACACACAAACACACATGTATATCCTTCCTGCACACATATGCATATAAGTAAACATGACACACCTCGCCTCCTTCCAGTCATACATGAGCATAAAACACACAAGCTAACACATTCAAACATGCTACCAATACAAACACACACCTACTTCTTAATCCCTCAGCACCACGAACACAACAAGGAAGTGAATTATGATGTGTGAGGACTTGGCTTGGTATCACAGGGAGGCTACCACACTGCTCATTTGGATGTTAATTAGTTTGGCCTGTTTGCATTTTTATTTATCTGGTGCACAGAGTTTGAGCTGATAATCTATTCACACTGATATTGGGAGATAAAACTTCAGCTCAGATGAGGCTGGCCAGTAAAATCGCTGCTTTTCTTAAATTATTCATCAACAGGGCGACTCTGAGTGGCATCCCATGCATTTCAAAGTCACTCCATCCCGCCATTTATCTGCTCAAGGTACATGTTGGGGATTGGTATCGGCACTTATAATAAGGTATGGCTCCCTGTCCCTCTCTGTCTCACCCCTCAGCATCAAACACCTCCATGACAAATTGGTCCCGTTTCTATTTCCTTCAGTTGAATTAAAATGCTATATCACCCTCAATAGCACATACTGTATTGAGATATATTGATATGCATCCAACACGGGGCATGTAATGAGAAGAGATGACAGAGCGCTTGGATTGCCGGTGCACCTGCCACATACTGCTGGCCAAGTCAGTGGGATGAGAGATGAAGAAGAAGATGAACAGGGCACAAATGCAACCCCCCCCAGCCTCCCTCGCTGCGTGGCTGATTTACAAGTTATGGCCTTTTTCTCCTTCATTCCGCCGTCATTGAAAGAAGATTAGATGGGGCCGATTGCTTTAGACATCAAACATCATACAGTCAATCCGTCGGAGCAGTCACTTTCAGTGCCGCCCCTTACGCACAGCTTTGTGGATGCATTCACAGTAAGAAAAGAGGAGGAAAAAACTGTATGCCTTCCCAGAGTCCACCCTCTTCTTCAGCCTCTAACCTCCCCTGTTTCTCTATTCCACAGTCAACTGATGCTCACTGGGATGTAAGGGCAGTATTTTCTAGCCTCCCCCCCCCATGCTTTTTTGTCTCGTTTTTCTCTCTCCCTTTTTCTTTATCGCTAACTTGTGAATGGCAGCCAATCAGGGGAAGAGTCGCCTCAGCTTCAGCCTCGGTGACATCCACCGCCAGAAGTGATGCACGGCTAGAGAAAGAGAGAGGAGGGGATAGAGGGAGAGAGAGAGGGAGAGAGAGGAGGGGAGGGGGAGGAAAGAAGGGAAGGGAGGGAGAGAAAGAGAGACACAGACAGAGCAAGAAGAGATGATAGAAAGAAAGTGTAGAGGAGGAAAGGGGAGAGAAGCCAGAGAGCGGGGAGGAGAAATGGAGCGAGGGAGGGAAGAGAGAAAGAGCGAAGCACAGAGCGAGGGAGGGAAGTAAGCAGGAGACTCTCTCTCTTTTCCACGCACACACACTCACACACACTCCCATACACATTCGCACCAGCTGTGCTGTTGTCAGTCTTGGAATGTAAGCACTGCCGTGAGGAGTCAGAGTCTCCACCGCTAAGCACTGCTAAGGAGTAGGAACACAGTACCGTGCACTCAGTGACACAGATGGATGCTAAGCTGTGAGAATCAAAGGTAAGGGCTTTTTCTGATTAATGTTTAAGGGTATATTTATATTTTGTCTGCTCTCAGACTCCAGGGGATGATCTGCTCCTTGCACTGTGACAAAGCCAGACTAATGCAGCAGTGTGGATATCTCAGGAAAAGAAGTGTTGGAACTTCAAAGAGCTAGAAAACAGCTGAATCAAATTAGCTGTATTTTATTTTTTGTATACCTTAAAATGTTTTATTATTTTTTTTAATTTTCTTGAATGTACAAGGAAGACTTGAAAATCAAGGAAACTTCACATTGTGATATCCAAGTAGATTCCAATTTTTTTTGCCTTTTTACAAATGAAACTTAAGGATCAATTAGGGTGCTTTCTTTAAAAAAATTTTTAAAAAGCTTTAGCTTTTTTAAAATTCATTATATTTTTTGACATTGTAAAATATTCAGCCCATGACACCTGTCACACAGGAGATAATATGTACCTGTAAGATACTATGACTATGTAAAATACTTAGTAGTCTGATATCCAAACTTTGTCACTTATTCTTAGTGCGATGTTCTCCATACTGTGCACCCATGGTTGCCTGCATAGCTTATATGCATGAGTATAGCCTATGCATACACCTAAGTGCACTTCTGCTGTATATATGACTCTATGTGTGTGTGTGGAGATGTATTTGTCTGTCTGCTGAAAGCCAGTGAGTGCGGCTCACACTTGTGATGTGCTGTGGGCAGATTTGATGGAGAGGCACTGTACCATTCATATCTCTAAAAATGCATGAAGGTGTTTATGATGGTGTTCGAGCACCGCAACAAGAGCAGCCAACAGTGTTACAGTGTACGTATATGTGCATGTCCTCCACAGCACAAACTTAATCCAACCCTGACTCTCTTTTTCAGCCTTTCTAGCAGCAACAGCAGCAGCCTACTCCCTCAGTGTGTTGCCTCACACGCAGACGGCTTCACAGTCACCAAAGTGATATATGAGGGTTTAGTCGTGTGCGCCAGGATGCCCGTGTAACACCATTATTGTTTAGTGCAAATTAGCCACTAACACGGTCCCTGAATTATTGTCAGCTATGGAGCGACCTTTCAGCATTAGAATGAAAAGAGGTGGAAATCCATTCTCCCACAGAGGCGAAGAGGCTCTCATGAGCATTTGCAAAGCTGGCTTTAAAGAATCAGACATGAATACATATTTGAAAAACACTACATATGTTCAAACAGAGAAGCAAGAGTGGGAAGTGAGTGCATTTTCACAACAAAATGGGAACTGTAATAAGCTCGCTTTGAATTAAATTCTAGTATTTGTAATTTCTTTCCGGTCTCTGTCTAAAATGACTTGGTCAGACTTTCATTCCTACCTAGTTACACTCTCCTAGATGCATCTCAGCATAAACATTTTTTCCTCTTTTAATCTCTTTTTGTTACCTTTTCATTGTCAACGCACCCTTTTCAAGAATAACGCCCCTGCATCCACAACCCCCTTAGAGTAGCTTTTCAACACGGAAGTGTGCACTGTATCACAAAATTGCTTTGAGGATTTCAAAACATGAGTAAAGCTTGCTGAGGTTTGCCAAAGACTGCAGCCGGCAGAGGCCGACTTGGGAAGGTCTAGGGCTCCACCAAGTGGAAGTTTGCGCAGGTGCAGCAGCTTGGTGCATCAACGCCCCTCATGCTAGATTTATACTCTGTCCGTGCTGCTCTGTCAATACCGGCAAGCAATCACTGGAGCCACTCAAACTGCCAATCACATAACACTAGTTTCTACCACCAACCTCGCATAAATGGTTAGCATTTGTCACCGCAAAAAATACAGCATTTGCTTGCTATAAATCATGCCCTTGGACAAACAGTGTAAGTACAAAAGATCACCAAGACTAATCATGACACCAGTTCGATGACCTTGCCGCCTTCCTGTGCCCTCTCTCCATCTTAGTCTTCTCTTTTTCCAATTACTCCACCTCTGCCTGTGTTTATTCACAGCACTTTTAAAATATATTCACGCGCAGAATTCCTTGATTGTGCAACATAAGACTAGAATTTTGATGGGGTCTAAAAGTCTGTGGTTTCAAAGTGGGTCAATATTGGTGTAGGAGGTAGGAGGTTTTGTGTAGCTTTTGTGTAGCTGAGTCTTTATTATGTTGTCCTACCCTTATGTAACAATGCATCTATTCATGGATAATGTAAATGTATTGTGTTACTTTGGGGGACTATTTTCATTTGATAAATCAATGTCATCCAAAATGAATTTTTGGTTAAGTAGGGCGGTTTCCAACTCCTTTTTGTGTCTTATATCTTCACTAAACAGCTAAATCCCTTATATACTTATTAAAACATGGCAAGTCTATTCACTGCAGACATTTGCAGTAAATAGTAACCACAGTCATATTCAAGTGCCAAAGTTTGCAGCAATATTCTCCCATGTACAGAGGATTATCAGTTTATTATGCAGAGAACTCTTAAAGAGGTTTACTAGCCAGACCTCTGCTGCATATTGCATCTATAATTATTGTCTCACTAGCGTCAGAGAATAAAAGTGCAAGGTTAGCGTGCTCGGTTTGGGCTTCATGGGCAAGCCTGCATGTTCAATTTCGGGGGCATAAAATTTTACACAGACTAGCCTGCGCTTTTCTAGGAAGCATATCCTGATGAACAGCTAGTTTATATCTGATCAAAGATATTCTTATTCAGCAAAACAAGAATGTATAATTTGCAGATTACAGAAACGGAGCAGAGCAGAGCAACTGCCAGACTGTGTCTTAGCCAAGATTAAGAATAACAACCCTAGACAACACTTAAAAGTAATTCTGTCCCTTCACATCTGTGTGCCTTAATGCCAAGCCATATAAGCTGCCTACAAGTTAATCTAATCATAAACAACTTTTTCTTAATAAACTCCACGATTTAATAGGTTGAATAAGCTGGGATAATTTAGTTTGCGTATATAGGATCTGGCATACATTCAGCATGCTCGCTCATCCTTTAATGGAGTGTTTGGAAGAATTCTGAAAAGAAACACTGGCCTAATGCTTAATAGGCACACCACATCAAAGATTAATATCCAGAATGCTATTAAAACTCAAGGACAGGCTGGGATGATAATTAGAAAATGCAATCACAAGCATCAGACTAGATTAATTGCAAGGCGGCGTTTCCTGATTTCGGCAATGCACGTGTCACACTAATGTCACATTATGAGCAAGAAACTAACATAAAAAATGTAGCACATCAGCAATTTACCACAATATCTACATTTCATCTCCATTACTGCGGCAATACTTGGACAAAATTAAAGTCTCTGTACTTGCAGAACGCTGGATTTCATTCATATGTGCAGCCTGTTGTTCAACATCTTTATAGTTTCTTAAAAGCTTTGGGTCAGTCCTACCATGTCAATGAAATTTGTGTTAGAGTTATTACATAGTTTTAATAGCTTTCTCCTCTACCTCATCCATATATCGTATACATTAAAAAAAACTTTGATCAGTTATTGAAGAATTACTGTTGACGTAACAGATTTCATTCATTTAAACTCCCCGAGTCACTGAGAATAAATACAATGTTTCAAATTAAGATCTATCAGCTACATGTTTTGATTTTCTATTCACAGTACTGCGTGTACTTAAATTTGCCATTTCGCTATCATCATTAGAAACATAATACTAATTTGTTCCCTGACATTAATAGATCCTTTGTTCATGTGACTTACTTCACAGTCCTTTTTTAAATTCTCTGAACAAAAGCAGAGGCATCGACTCGCATGGGCTTTTAAACAGCGTTCCCTGAGGTACACAGCGAGTGCGTGCTGGGGTAACTCTCGTACCTTAACCTTTATAAAGGGACACTGCTAAATGGGTTCTTTTAGGAAGAGAGGTAAGATTTATTAGGATTAACTTACAAAAGACCATCAATTATGCATAGACACCCAAATTACCTATCAGGACCAGTGAGTGGGGACACAGCCTTTAGTGAAGTATTGGAAGAAGACTGCCAATAACACAAAATACCTTTTCACAGGCACAAAGCCTGACAGACACCTGGGGATAATTTTGGTGGTTTGGGAAATTCTGTGTATGTCTATATGGATTTTCTCCTTTTGGAGTGCATCAAAACATCTCCAGGGAATAAAAATCTATGAAATTAGCCATCAGTAAAGGATGCAAAAATTAAGTAGAGCTAAAAATTGAGAGGAAGTGGGTAAGGAGGGTGAACTGGATGGAAGAGATGAAAAAGACAGACTTCCCTTTAGCAAGACAATCCATTTATACATATGTTAGTGGAAGTCTGTTCTGCAGCTGTAAAATGTAAGTGAACAACTGTGAAGCAGAACATTAAAAAAAATCTACAGAGGATGTTGGGGTAATATATTTTGCTCATGTCAGAAGCATACTTCTCCCAGAGGTGCCTGTATTAAGCTGTTTAAACATGCTCACCGTCTTTGAAGCATCTCATCAGTGTTTGCATATCATCAGTAATGCAAGTTATAATTAGTAAAGCGCACCACAGTCCTTTAAGATGCAGGGTGTGGAAGAGATATGTCTGATTGTGAATTCTACCATATTTACTAAACTTAAATTATCTGCATCTAAAAAAAAAATATACAAATTTGCTCCGGCTGATTACAGGAAGATGATTTCGATAGGATGCCAGTGTTGGTAATAAAGGATGTGGAGTTGCCCATTGAAAAATTAATAGGACCTAGCAAAGTTTCCCTGCAGGCTAATCATTGCTGGCTTAGTGTGTTTCCACTGTAGTGAAAAAGCGACTAAAGTCAAGACGACCACTGCTTGACCACTCATACATCACTGGTGTTGTAGTCCCTCCATTAAAGTTTATGTAGTTTTCTAAAGCACAAGCCACTTTGTTTGTTTGTTTGTTTGCTTTTCTGGCCATCACGATTGAATGACATATTTCTAAATGCTTCTGGTCTCTGGGGAATGTTGCTGCGATGGAGACTTAAGAGTAAAAATGTAGTACTTGAATAACTGCTTCCAAGAAAAAAAAAGGAATGTCATTAAACCCTATCACATAATGAATATGTCAAAGTCAAAGATCATTTTGATACAAAACAAGAAGCACGATTCATTAAACTGAATTTGATCTTGACATCCACTCCATTGGTTATGCACTTAGATTACCGAAGTCATCTGGTGATACATTTATTATGTTTATTGTCTTGAAATTCTTTATACTTCATGCCTTTCATTTATCATTTACTTAGAAGTTTGTCAAATCAGTTCCACCACGTTAGCTTCATCTCTATTTTTATCATTAGATAAGTTCAATTTTACTAGAAAAACATATACACTCTTTTATGATGACACTATATTAATTTATTCTTAAGCTTACGGCTCTTAGACAAGCCTCAACATTAAATCATGGCTTTGAAGCTTTTAAGGTGATTGAATAACTAGTGCAGCTCTTGGCCTTGTATAGCAAAATCTGAAGGAAATCTGAAGGAAAAGTCATTGTACACAGAGTACAACGGCTTGCAAAGCTGCTGTTTTCACAAGTGCACATGCTATTTGACTGTTTTAATTGTATACTGTCAAAGTGATAGATAGGTGTCATGGTCTTTTTCTTGAATACAGTTTCCTCTTTTCACAGGGATCTAAAGGAGATCAAAGAAAGGAATACAATGTCTGTTCTGATGACACCACCTTCCAGTGCTGATCCTCTCAGAAGCTTATCACCATAATTCAGAAGTCATTCAGGACATTTCCCAGCTGATTGGATACCATGATAACCAATCAAGTTCTGCTGCTCCTCATGCTCTCTATCCTCTGGCCCACTACTGCCCTTCCTTTTGCGCCTGGGAATATTGGGAATCTGTTTGGGATGCCAGAGAGTGATGGTAAGATTCTTCAGCGGTCCAAACGTGGATGGATGTGGAATCAATTCTTTCTGCTCGAGGAATATACAGGAAACGACCATCAATATGTTGGCAAGGTAAAACGTCCAACCACATTGTCTGTAGACTAATTATAGGAGTTTTAGCTTGTCGAAGTAGTGTTTGATGTGATTGGCTGAAGATGAATGGGCTGCCAGAAATCTGGCTGTTACAGGCACAGTTACTGGAGCTATCAGACAGAAACAAGTGTACACAACCTCACTTGTTCCATGGTTTTCTTGATTACCCTGTGCAGTGTAAACATACTATTACAGCTAAAATAAAAGTACAGATTTTTTTTATGTGGCAGACAGCATTAATATAACAATAACATCCCATTTTAACAGTAATACCAAAAACAACCATTTCTGGCTTTATAATAATTTTTGTGAGATCATAATGAGACAAAAAGTCAAAGCATATAGAAGCTGAAACAGCCTGTGGACCAGCCTTTTTCAACAATATGACCATTCCTACCTTCAAATTTGAGGAGGCAGGAAATGGTTATTTTGTTGAAATAGGCATGGATGTACAAGAACACATTGATGGGTGATACAAAATACAAGAAAAACAGAAATAAAAATGAATAGACAGTGGCACCTACTGGAGTCAAACTATGGCATTTGTACATGTGTTCACCATGAAACTAAGGAGCACTTCAAAATTCGTATATGAGTTTATGCAGCTTGTAAATCACCAGCACATAGAACAAGTGCAAATTTAATATCAACATCAGGTCAAGACCATAGCAAATCCAAGCCAAACAAAAACATGAGACTCGGCTCCTGCAAGACTCTCCTAAGAATCGCCCCAAAAAGTTTTGGGACAATGCTATTCTTCTCCACCCACCTACTTCAGACAGTTCTTTGTCAGCTCACCCGTGCTAGCACCATAAAGACAGGTGTGATGGGGAGCGTTGCAGTTATCAACTCAAGGGAGGGAAATGAGGTGACTGTCGACAGCCAATTTTCTAAGAGGAAGCTGGCTTTCATCACACACCTCATTCTCTGGAGTAAACAAGTGTCTTGTGCAAGGTTGAGTACGGGGGATATGACAACTTCTTTTGCTGAAACCATCATTCTGATGTGGTGAAGAGAAAGGAACAGTAAAAATAAAAAAAGAAGAGAGGGAGGAAGAAGAAAACATATCAATCAAGAAGGCCACTGAAATTCACCTTGTTGTATTATGTGATGAAGCAGCAGAGGAAATGCTAACTATAAATGGGGCCATCCAGTGATATGTCGGTGACTGGTGTGATGTGGCTTTTTCTCGACTCTTTGATGCTTTCTGGCACCCAACTTCTGTGGCATGACAGCAATCACACTCACCGGTTCCGCACTCCTCCTGTGTCCAATATCATTCACTATTAAACTGTCAGAAAAACATGAGCCTATAATAAGTTACTGGAGGGGGAAAATAGGGCAAGCACACGCTGCCATTCTGCTTTACAGAGGAAGCTGGCAGAAATCACTAATTCCATCAGTTTAACCACAGGGAAAAAACTGTGATGGTAACAGAGACTGGTAAACAGACAAATAATAAGTTAAGATGAAGGCACATAGCCTTTAAGGAGAGTTTAAGAGTGAACAAGTTAAAAGATCAATCAATTAGTTGTCTATGAAAAATTAATCAGTGCCCTACTTTCAACCCTACTTTAATCACTAATTTTTCTCATTTATCGAGCAAACATACCAAGCACCCCCTGGGCCCAAGTCAGTACAAGAAAGCAGGACCAATGCCAAAGATTATATAGAAAGATATACAAAAGACTGATACAGAAAACTGAGAGAGTAACTCTGACTGTTCAAAAGATGGACAGGAAAGAAAAACCCAAGAACTGCAAATAAAATAAGAAAAAAATATGAAAGATCAAAATAACTTAAGACCCTCTGACTGTTGCAAGAAACTGAATGAAAAACAAACAAGATCATATGGAAGCTAAATAACAGAAACAATGCCAAAGATGGAAAGGTCTATATGAAAGATACTCTTAATATACGACTGCAACCAGAGACTGACAATAAAAACTGAAAGGAAAACTGTAAGACTATACAAAAAATGGCCCAAAAAACTGACCTATATAAAAGATTTAATATAGGACAAAACTGATATGAAAAAACGGAAAGACTATATGAAATACAATACAAAAGACTGACAAGTAAAACTGATGGTGATAGCCTGATAAAATAAAAAAGAATGATAAGAATGAATGACGAACAAAAAAAGAGCAATATGAAAAAAAGAAAAATAATGAAAGATTTAGCTTTAACACAAGACTGTAAAAGAAAATATGAAAAATCACAAAAGATGAGGAGAAAGAAAGAATGAAAGAAAGAATTGGATATATAGATTGTAACCTTACAAGACTAATACAAAAAAAATGTGAGACCTTAAGAAAGAGACAGACAAAGGCAGATAAACAGAAAAACAAAGATCAATCAAAAAAAGCCGGATCAATGTTAAAGGTAGAAGTAAAAAATAGACAAAGAAGGACAGACAGACAGGTATGAAGGGAAGAAAGAAAATGTAAAAAGCACTCCAGTACCCAGCACAAAGCCACCAAAGCCTCGATGGTCTTTCACATAAAGATCACTTAATGGCCTTTGTAGCGCACTGTAGCAGAACTTGTTTATTTCACATTCAATCAAAGCTCTCCAATCAGCCCCCACACACTCACTAACTCTCACTTGAGGTTGATTTCTTGGTGATGGCAATCAAATGTGATGTAAAGAACAGTCTCACACTCGTATGCCTCACGTCTCAACTGAAAAGGAAGCAGTGCACGGCTGCAAATGCACTATAATAAATGCAGATGATATTGCTTATCAGGACTTCAAAAGACACGCAGCTTTGAGGCTTACATAATGAATAGTGCAGTCAGATACCTCACAGGATGATGGAGACAAATAACTTCATTATTAAAGTCGTATTTTCAGCCAGATTCGGCAGCAGTTGTCAAGTTGCTAAAAAGCAGAGTGTACTTTATGTTTTTATATATTCTATGTAGCGCGAGTGTGTAGAATCCAAGTGTAAATCCACCAAATCTCATTTTAACTGACTTTCATGGGGGCATTAATGAGTGTGAGCACTCACTGTCTGCAGCTGTGGTGCCCTACTTCTTAAGCAGGGCTGTGAAGTGTGAACGCTTGCAATGCTGAGCAATACAAGCGCAAACTTTGGATTGTGCAGCATATGAGTGGTGTGTCTGAAGTGAACAAAATCCTATTAAATGCTCGGTACACTGCATTGTTTTTGTGCCTTGTAGACAAAATGTGCTGCCTAAATTAAAACTTTCAAGGTAGCTCACTTTGTGGTGTTAATATTTTGACAATAAGTATCCTTGGCTTTTTGAAAGGCCTTGCTTAACACTCCTCTGCATGAATTTTGCCGAACCTGTGTGCGTTACAAAAAACACAAAGCGCAACAGAGATACTGTAAGCTGTACCTCTAACCAACATATTGCACATTATAGTACATGGCTCTAATAGTAAAGAATTCCTGCCTATGTCTTAAGAGACGGGGGGAGAGGAGGACGAGTGATTATTCTGTAACCGTTCTACACTCTATTTTGCTATCTCCTCTTTGCAGCACCAAGCAATGCTTACCAGAGACCTGACAAGAATTGCCAATGATTTTGGTGCTTTACTGACAATTCCTCAGTGTTTGTGCAAGGCGATTTAACTCATCAAGGCTCTCTTCTGTGCTTCTGTTGTAAGGCCTTGAAAACGTTGTGTTTGTGCTGCAAGGCCTTGAAAGGAGAGCCACTAAATCTCTGCAAATATAGTGTGGCAGTGCAAACATTAGATTTTGTAAGGGCTGTGTGAAAAACACTTTGTGCCACACTTTCTCGAGAGTGTCAATGGAAGTTTTTCTTTTTTATATAGCTGTACTAGATTTACGCTACATGTTAGATGCAAAGTCTAGCACACTTGAACTGTGTGCTTCAAGAAAAAACACCCCTCATGCCTCTCTCAAAAAAAAAAAGATATATATATATATATATATATATATATATATGATTAAAGTGCATTACAGTACTGAGTGCAGTTTCTATAGGACATCCCAAAAGAAATAAAATCCTAAAATCCCATGTTCTTGGCTCATTGCCTTGCTGACAACAGGAGAACAGAAACACTATTATTTTTAGATGCTGTGGTATCTTTTCCTAACATTGCTTACTTGTGCAGAATCCCTCCTTATTTGCAGTTCCACTAAGTCAGAAATCTATATGGCCATGGGGAGAAAATGTTTCTTTTACCCATGGCTATGAAGGGAACATTATGTCGACATCCAATAATTGGCACAAGTGCACAGGGAAAGGGCTTGGGTGGGGGGTGGGGGTTCAATTTAGACTAAGGGAAATATGTAAAATACAGGGCTCTGCAAAGACTGTAAAATTCCTATTATCTTTGAGACAGCTTGGCTGCACAGGTTTAGGCTCCTTTGATGGCTCATTGTTTGTTGTTTTTGCTTCTCAGCCTTCTTTTAACTGGATTAACAAACAAGCCTGAAAAATATGGTAATAATCAGATGAAAAAAAATGTGAGAATATCATGAAAAGATGAAAAAAAAATGCAATTGCTGTGTGACATGGTCTGAAATTGCGCTGGCCTAATTATCACAGTGTTAGCACACAAGAGTATGCGAGGAGTCACAGTTTTGAATATCAATAATGAAATATGTTCTTCTTATGTTGCACAGGATTCCAGTGATGCGTAGTGAGCTAACCCTCCTATAACCTATATGCCAATATATGAAAAATTATTTTTAACGATAAGGTGACTGTGGAAATATAGATTCTTTTTGAAGAGTGCAATTGCGCATAGCCAACATATGAAGCCTATTTGAATGCAAAAATTCACACAAACAGTTTCCTGGCTGCTAAAATTACACTGTCATTCATAGTCAATAGCAGTAGCAGCTTTCACATCCATAACACAGCTTAAATCCTTGGTTCACTGGCCTACGGCTCACATTCACCAACAATGAACAGACTGTCTCAGAACGCAAATATATGTGAAAATTCAAGCTGACTGATATTTCTCTTTAATAGCCTTTGGATAATAGAGATCATCTGCTTGAAAATATTTCCCCACACAGTGCCAAATGCTGTGTCTATTGTTCATCTGAACTTGACAGCATCTTGTTTTCACATGCATCCTTATTTATTTTTTAATTCTACCTGAGAATAGCTACCACTCTGGTAATACATTTCTGATTTCCATCCGGAGTTGTACTGTTGACATTATTCTTCCAACTGCAGGAAAAAATAATTAGTTTCTTCACAGCATGCAGATATTAATATTAATAAGTTACTGACGTACATTCTGTGTCCCTAACTACTTGTCATTTAAAATGTGAACCCATGAGATAGTGCTCTAAATATATCTGCTGACAGATCCAGTACAGTAATGAGCTTGAATCAAGTGTCTGTCACAGTATGCCACCATTACTCGTCTGTGACACTTAGGAGATGCTTCAAGGTGATGGATAGGTCAGAGGTGACTAATTTTAGCAATTGTTGCTGTTGGTCAGGTTCTCATCATTTTTCAAAGGCACAATCTGAAAGAAAAATCCACGACTAATTTGATTTGGAGTAATGGAGTGCGTCACACTTGATACTCTGGGTGCAAAGGCACCATTTTCAAAGACTGAACCAGATTCCTTCGTGGGTTTCAACAATTATTTCACAAAGGAACAAAAGTCAAAATTGGCAAAAGAGGAAAAACTGGCCAACTTGAGAAAGACGAGGGCAATACAAAAAAAAATCATTTCCCTCCTACCAGTAGTGCATGCAGTGGTTTTTTTTTCTTGTTTAAAGTTAAAGAAAATCTAATTAGGGAGAAATGTAGAAGCAAAGTTCTCTAGATCATTTCCAAAGGCTTGAAAAACTAACAACAGCAACTACATTTGATGTTAGCAATTGAGAAGCACTGTTGTTATTGTATGGAGAAGTGTTCAAAAGTAGAATTAAATTTTAAATAGCTTTGTACTTTATCGCCACTGGTTACACAAAATCAATGCGTCTTACTGAAAGCTGAAGCTTTCTTGTCAGCCTGAAGTCCATGACGGAAGAGTGTGCAATTCCTCCAATTGCACACCCATACAACATAACGCAATTTGTACAGGTCTGTCTTAAGATTCGTTTCAATTTTTAATATGGATCTCTCTGATTTTCAGCTGCACTCTAACATGGACAAGGGCGATGGCAACGTGAAGTACATCCTGACTGGAGATGGGGCAGGCACCTTGTTCCTGATTGATGAGAAGTCTGGGGATATTCACGCCACAAAGAGGCTGGACAGAGAAGAAAAAGCCATGTACACACTGAACGCAAAGGTTCTGGACAGAAACACCAATGCAGAGCTGGAGCCTGACACTGAATTTAATATCAAAATTCATGACATCAATGACAACGCCCCAAAGTTTGCAAAGGAAATCTACTTTGCTAGTGTGCCTGAAATGTCTGAAGTGGGTAAGTTATGGTTCGTTTAATTTTAACACTGATTAATGGACAAAATTAAATCAACAACTGTTAATTGGCTGGATAGCTACAAAATAAAACTGGCCATTTGTGCTCTGAAAAATCGCATCCCCATTGGACTAAACAATTAACTAATGATCATATTTAGCTTCTAAATCTATAAGGAAAACCATTAGTCCACATTTATTTATCTGAGAATTGATGCCATTATAATGTTAATAGAATATGGCAAAACAATTTTCAAGCAATGCAGAAAAAGCAAGCCACTATTCATCAGTCAGCTGGTTTGGTTTAATGTGACGCTGTGTTCACTTTTTTCACAGTTATTTGCTGTTTTGCGATTGTTATTCACGCGGTCAGGCTCATTGGGCATTCATAACAAGTAATGCCATTTGCCATTTTTAATAGGCGGTAGAAATATTAAAAGTTTAGATTGTCACAGTCTTTCCAATTAAGGATTTGCTTCATTGCACTCCACTTCATTCCATTCAAGTAATATAAATAAGCCAGTTGGCATGAATATAAACAAAGCTTACAAAAGTAATGCATGCAACTTGAAATCAATCCTCAATTATGCAACCACAAATTAATACACGGGAACAATCAAGGGTAAATCAAAACCCAATTGCCTATATGACAAAAAATTATATTCCATTTGGAATTCATAATGCATTTTTCTTAGACGTCCTAGCTTCAAAGGATGGCTCAGTGTCACCGCTACCCACCTCTGGACTAATAAACTTCCTTATATGTTCAGTCTGAACACACTGGTTAGCCAAGTCACCCAGCTATAAAAAAAACCAGCAGCCTCCTTTTATACTATCAGTGCTGGGACTAAGTGGGACAGATGTTCGAGGGTTCATTAGTATGCACGGAGACCGTTAGACCCAAACAGGACACGGCAGAGGTCTCCTGAATGCCAAGGACAGTATTCGCAATGTAGCACTACTGAAACGCTTGGGTGGATTATACAGGACTTAATATGGAAGTGATTTCAGTGACAGCATATCTGAGAGGAACTGAGTTCTTTCGAAGCTTGAACTTTTTTTTAGACACATCTTTAGAGTCCCCAGTGTATGTGTCCTGGTGGTAATTAGTAATTGCAAACACTCTTTCAGTCGCATAAAAAATACATAAATAAAAATGATTTAGTTGAGTGGTAATTGTACCTAGACGAGCATAAAAGCATGTCAGTTGTACCTTTATCTCTCCACACTTTGGGCTGTTAACAGAAAGGGGGGGAAACCTTTTCCATTTTTGGGGGATTATTATTATTATTATAGTTTCAGCTTCTCACAAAATATTTTATGACAGTAATTGGTGTGCAAAATGGCTACAGGCTGCGTGTCATTAGTCAAAACTGCATGGCATGAATTGAAAAACTAAATGTGTATGTTATTACTACATCTTTTCATACCAGGTTTGATTTATGAGACAGAGAGAGTATTCTTTCCTTAAGGCTTGACAAACCATCATTTTTTAGTCTCACTGCTATTTAAATTAGACCCATTACCTGGGTTTAATCAAAGTAATAATTTTGACTGTGGATCCAGATGAGATCTAATCACAGTCTGAAAGTGTAGGTTATCAATTTTGATTCACTGTTTAGTCACTCGCCTATCTCGGCACGCTTGCTTTTTTGGAGAAAATTGATTTTGTTCAGAGGCCCGGTCGTCGAATAAATACGAACAATATCAGGGCACTGATGGCGTTAATAATGGTCACTTTGAGCAACTGGCTTTCTGGAAATGAGTGTCAAATTTGCAGAAAACTTTCTCTATACAAATGGAAGTAAATTTCAAAAGTTGACTCAGTTACTTGATCATGTCTTGTTTTAATAAGCGCAGTAACAGAATCAATTAAAATTGACTTTCGATGTTTGTTTTGCAGGTACATCTGTTGTCACTGTAACTGCCACTGATGCTGATGATCAAACATATGGGAACAGTGCCAAGCTTGTGTATAGCATTCTACAGGGACAGCCCTACTTCTCTGTGGATTCTGAAAATGGTAAGCCAAACGCAGCAGGATCTCTTAGAAGCAGCTTCTAATGTGTTGCAATGTGTGTGAGAATTAAATCGGAAGAAGGGGGATTCATCTGACTCTCAGGGTTATTAATCCAAATAAGTGCAAGATTGATTTCTTCCACTAATTTCAGCTGAAATTTCCAATTGTGTTTGTTTTTGGCTGAAAAAAGTGTTCATGTTCGAGTTTTCTGTCAGGAAAGTAAGAGTTTAATATTTACAAGAACACTGCGGTACTTGTAGCCATGTAATCTTTCATCTTGCATATATCATGGAAGAAACCAAACATTTTGTCTGTGAGTCATAAAATATTAATAAGACAAAACCTTTCAAATCCATTAGTCCCATTATTTACGTACAGCATTTCTAAAATTGGATATAAGTAATGCCTGACATTTTGGGAAGTGGGCTGATAGGCTGTCGTACCAAACAGAGCTAGATGGGACGATCAATGTCAATTTCATCTCTAAGCATTCACTCAGTGTCAGATGGAAACAGAGATTGATGCAACCAAGCCCTGTTAAAGCAACAAACAACTGCACACTGTCTTATTTACAGAGCAATTATCTTATAATTCAAGAAGAAAATGATTTGAGAAAGTTCGATCACAACAACTGGGCTCTGTATTCACAAAGCAGGTTAAAATTCCTTATTTCCAACCATAAGCTGACCCTGAAAGGTATTGTTCTCAACAATGTTACAGAGGTTGTCACAGAATTTATTTCTAGTAAGTAAAACCAAACTAAAATTACATTTATTAAGGACTTTAAACAAAATGCTTATATTGTGTAATCATAAAAAAGAAAAGAAAAAACAGAGAAAAGTACTGCATCGTGCATCTGGTATACAAATGTAGCACTTCTGACACTAAAAAAACATTGCCAAGAAACATAATCCGGGCAGCAATTAGATTTCCCTTGGAAACTTAATTGGCAAACTAAATCAGAGGCATATAAATGTAATTTTCTAGCAGACATGGTTGCGACAGAGACAGAATTGATAATAATCTCATCGCATTTACAGTAAGAGAGGAAATAATTTCTCAAAATAAAATGTATCTTTAAAACAGCAAAAGTGGTGACTAACTTTTTCTTTTTTCTTATTTCCAGGCACGATAAAGACAGCTCTCCCTGGTATGGACAGAGAAGTCAAGGAAAACTACCAGGTTGTGATCCAGGCTAAAGACATGGCTGGGCAGATGGGAGGGCTTTCAGGAACCACTACAGTCAGCATCACTCTCTCTGATGTAAACGACAGTCCGCCTCGCTTTGCGAATCGTAAGAGGCCTCCCTCTTGTACTTTATTGTTTTGCAAAGCATTTTAAGACAAGAGTTTTGTATCTATGTACAATAAAAATGATCATGGATTAATGAAGCAAGCACGCAACCAAAGATTTACCCATTTAATGTCATGTTTAGATTCCTTCCGTGTGACTGCTGTCGAGTCCACAGTGATTGGAGCTGCTATTGGGCGAATTAAGGCTGATGATCCAGATGTGGGCCGTAATGCTGAGATGGAGTACACCATAGTTGGTGGTCATGACATTTTTAATATTATCACTGACCAAATCACACAGGAGGGAGTCATCATAATAAAAAAGGTACCTCAATTCTATTTCATCTTCTGTATCTCTCTATTTCTTATGCTATTTTATATGTGTTTTCCACAGTCACTGTTCAAGTAACCAGCTAATGTCATAGCTGTAACATCAGACAAAAAAAGTAGTTACATTATTTCACATTTTGTAATTGGTTTGAATATTCCAGATTTGGGAAAAAGTTTGAAATATAGCCCAAAAGTATGGTTCTGATTTTAATTTGACATAAGATATATAAAATATCTAAAATAAAGATCATTTAACTTCAAACAGTAAGTCAGGACAGCATAGTTTCAGATTAGATATTAGTTAGCAGTTTTGATGTAAGAAGAATATGACAGCCTATTTTTGAACTGAAATGTAAAATCACCCTAAGGTAGTAAAAGGAATAATATAAATATTTGTGCTACAAATTCTCTCAAAAGATCCCCAGATCAGTATTCCTTATTTGGATTTGTAACCTAGAATTTGGAATATGATTAAGATAAAGGCAGACAAATGAAAAGCAATCAATTGCACATCAAAATCCTGGAGGCAGATAGTTTTTTTCCCCCTTTCTTTTTAAATGGAAACGTCTACAGCTTGACTTCTGATGTGCTTTCATCTCTAGCCACTGGATTATGAAACTAAGAGGGACTACGAGTTCAGAGTGGAGGTGAAAAATACCTACTTGGATGCAAGGTTCATCCATGGTTTGCAATTCAAAGACTACGCCACGGTCAAGGTAACGGTAGAGGATGTGGACGAGCCCCCAATTTTCACCAGGAACCCTTACATCATCGAGGTGCACGAGGACACGGCTGCTGGCAGCTTCGTTGGTGTGGTATCAGCCAGAGACCCAGATGCTGACAACAAGCCAGTCAAGTATGCTACAGGGCTCAGAAGTGCTGAGGCCTTACACTGTGCCAGACTCTTTGAGTAAAATGCCAAATAGCTTTCCTAGCCTACAACAACAAATTCCCTTTCATCTGGAATTAGGTACTCGCAATTTTGTAAACTTGCAAAACAATCAATGGCCTGTTAAGCAAAGATTTCCTAACCAGCCAATTGGGTGTAATGCTTTATTGTAGTAATTTGATTGTTTCAAAACTCATTGTCCCAGCTTTAATTATACCAGAATAAAATCAATGCAAAAACAAGCAACACATGGACGAAATACAAAGTCTCCTCTTATCAGTTTTATAGAGTGAGGATTAAAATGTGCCCACTTAGTTAAATCTAATCCATCAGCCAAGCCATGTGTCAGTGTAGAAGGGGGGGAGAATATTATTCATGGGTCCCTCTTGGTGATTTCCCAGTGGAAGATGGCGGCAGCATTGTGAAGTGAATACAGACTGTTTATTTCCCGGAATTATGTAAGCCCTCTGTGGCACTGCACAAAGTCAAAGTGAAAGAGCCTAATTTGCTGTATCGATTCACACAGCTCAGCGCCGCCGTTCCACACATATGGCGCCTGCCCATCTCTGACACAGAGATATGCTGCTCTTGGCCAATGCCACATGGCGTATTGTGTTGCATATTCCAGTTTCACTTGTGTATGAAAGGTGACTATGACAAATGAGCAGGCTCACAGAAAGATGTATCATCTTTTGACAATGGGGAGCCTGGAAAGCAGTTTCTTTTGCAGGAATTAATGCACTTTGTAAAACACAATTTTAAGTAGATAAGGACGTTAGTGTGTTTTTTCTCATAAAGACAGCCCCGTGCAAGCAGAATGACTTTTAACTGGTCTTCATTTTACAACAACAATAACACTAATCTGTTGTAGAGTTAACATGATTTGGTCTGTTTGGAGATTTGTGAGCACTTCTATCTCACTGGTATGAATAACTACGTTATTTCTTGCAGATACTCCATTGATCGACACACAGATCTGGAGAGGCTGTTCAACATTGATTCTGTGAATGGGACCATCACAACACTGAAAGCACTGGACCGAGAAACATCCAAATGGCACAACATTTCTGTGGTGGCTACAGAAATAAGTAATTGTTGTTTTTGATATCCAATTTATAATAATAATAATAATTTTTCATCTGTGCCGTAAATAACTGAAATTATTTTATGTAATCATTTTAGATAATCCACGTCAGACAACTCGAGTGCCAGTGTTCATCAAGGTGTTGGATGTCAATGACAACGCCCCCGAGTTTGCCATGTCCTACGACACATTTGTCTGTGAGAATGTCAAGGCAGGACAGGTATCAGTGGTTTCCGTCATTATCATGGTTTCATGGGCAAAATAAGGATATATATAAATGGCACTGAAGCACAGGGTCAAATTCGTCAGCTGCATATATTGCATAAGTATTCACACAACAGAAAATACTTAGATGCGACTGTGTTCCCAGACACAATTTTCATGACACAATTACATTTAAATCTGCTGCTTGTATTGGCTTGGGATGCTGTTGGAACCCTGCTTTAGAACTACTTTATTTATTTGGGATAGTGTATTATCCTGCTGGAAGCACCTGACATGGAAATTTAATGCTGTTTACATCAAATTCTGACCCTGGTATCCAAATTTTGCAGCAGAAATCAAGACTCATCAGACCAGGAAACCTTTTTCCAATATTGTAATTGTCTAACTTTAGTTGAGACAATGCGAAATGTAGCCTCAGTTTGCTAATCCTAACTGATGGAAGTGGTGCCTGGTATAGTTTTCTGCTGCTGTACATTCAGAGATGCTCTTCTGCATACCTTGGTTTGGTTTGAGTTACTGTTGCCCTCCTATCAGCTCAAAGCAGTCCGGCCATTCTCCTCTGACCTCTGGTATGAACAAGGTATTTTCTCCCAAAGAACTGCAGCTCACTGGATAGTTTCCATTTTTTAGAAAATACTATGTGAACTCTAGGTTATACAGGAAAATCCCAGTACATCAACAGCTTCTGAAATACTCAGACCAGGCCATGTATCACAAACAACCATGCCATGTGGAAATTCACTTACATCACCTTTCTTCCCTATTCTGATACTGAACTTAAGTTGGTCATCTTGACCCTGTCTAAATGTCTAAATTTAGAGTTTGAGTTGTAGCCATGTGAATGGACCAATTCTCATCCACACTACTTCATAATTCATATTTGTGCTTCATTAAATATCCCAAATCCTGAAACTGACAAATGTCTTAAAAGTTATTCCAGTGTTTTACGATATTAATTGCATATATTCATATGCTTTCTAATGCGTTGCCCTAACCTTTTGTTCTGATTTTTTACAGTTGATTCAGACAATAAGTGCTGTTGACACAGATGAACCTCTCGTGGGACACAAGTTTGTGTTTAGTATAAGTCCCACCAATCCCAATTTTACCATTGATGACAGGGAAGGTAAAATATTCTTCTCTTTTTTTACCATTTTTACTCTTAGAAATATTCATAAATACATCCTCATTAATAAACAATGATTCAAAATCAAAAGCCTTGTGCGATTACAGGGTTTTTTTCTGATGTTGTAATTTTTGTACTCTTTCTTGAAGAGCTCTAGTTGATTGCCAATTATCTTTCACTGCACAATAAACACAGTGGAAATGCCAACCTTCACAGTCAGATATATTGGACTGCACTGTGTTACAAACAGATTTTAATTTTATCTGCCCTACAATAGAAAATATTTGCTTTTCAAGAAAGTGGAAATGCTCATGAAGCTTTTCAAACAAGATATGCAATGGTTGTTCAGTAGCCATGCAGTAACAGGTCTGAAAACTTTACATGTTTTTTTCAGTTTTCTCCATTTAGTCTAAGACTTTAAATAATGGCATGTATACTGTAAGATAATGTGACATAACAGACTCATAACAAGGACAAATATTCACAATTTCAACAAACAAACACAACTTCATACTTGGACCAGGTTACTGTGCCTTTGAATGAAGATGTCTATAATTACCTAATAAGCTGCAATTTGCTCTTTTATAATAAAAGCCTTTATTTACAGAAATAAAAAGAAAGCTATTCTAAAATCTCGTCATTGACAAGGTCTGAATGTTTCCACAGATAACACTGCCAATATCCTGACACGGAGGGGAGGTTTCAGTCGCCGTGAGATGAGCATGTACCTCTTGCCTGTAGTGATCTCTGACAACGACTACCCCATTCAGAGCAGCACCAGCACACTGATCGTGCGCGTGTGTGCTTGTGACAGCCGTGGAAACATGCAGTCGTGTAACCCTGAGGTCTTGCCCTTCTCAGATGGTCTCACAACTGGAGCTCTAGTGGCCATACTGCTCTGTGTCATCATCCTTCTCAGTAAGTTCACTCTTGAGTTCAGTTCAGTTTTATTTATATAGCGCCAAATCACAACAGCAGTTGCCTAAAGGTGCCTATGAAATCTGTTTGTTTTTTTTTTTTTGGGGGGGGGGGGGGGGGGGGGGGTTCTCTCTGCTTTTTGTGAGTCTAATGAAAGAAGTAAAAAGTCTTGACCAAAAATAATAAAACAATAAATAAATATAATAATAATTTTAAACTAACTTCCCTTTAGGGTAACTAGCCAGGCCTGCTTTATTGTGTTAGTGACCAGTTTGGTCACTGACAATGGATGTTCATGGGATCATGAAAACTTTAACTTCTTATTCTTGTAATGTTTGCTTCTTCATTTAGGCACAACAGTATTCAGTGCAAATAATAGCAACTCGGTTCTCATATTCAATTCAAGTCAGTGAAAACAATTATAAATCATTCAAAATAAAAACAGCTGCAGCTCCATCTCTATTACCATATTTTAACAAGTTGCACAACTCTATAAAGTAGGGGTGTAACATATCTAGTTACAAATGAGCAAAAATCAAACAGTGGAAAAAAATGTAGAAAACCAGTATATTTTTAAGTATCCACTTGATGGAAAAACACTGAGGGTAAAGGTGTATGTACAAGGCAAGACATTATTGTGCTTTAAGTGTAATATAGGGGTGAGATGTGAGCAATAAAAGCAGTAAGGAGACTTTAAAGTGAGATTACTGTGAAGAAAACAATATAATATTTTAAGCAAATAAGATCCAGGTAAAACCTGCTGGGAGTAAAAGATTTTCTGGTGGAAACCCAGAAAACCACAGCATCATCAGGTTAGCTAAAGAACATCTGTTGCCATGGAAGAACTCTTGGTTTATGAGACGTGGCAACAAAGAAACTGGATTTAAGAAACATTGTTACAAGTAAAGCACTTATTGAAATGAACAGAATTCTGGCTGATCCTACTTTTATTCATTGTTTTTTGGAAGAGGTCTGTGAAGATTTTTTATTCATTTGTTTTTTTAAATCGAGGCTTACCTGTCTTTGAAGGTCACATCAAACCCATTGGTACACATGTTTAGTTATCTGTCTACTTCTTATCCAACCTCATTACCATTGCTACCATGGTTATGTTGAGAACTTGCTGTTCTTTTGGCATATTAGCAGTTACCATAACTCCAAAATGCAAAATTATCACCCCAGGCAGGCAATTTTGGCTGAAAAAGTCAATAACATGGACCAGAGTGACTTGTTTGCTCAAGTACATGCTGTTAAGTGGCCGCATGGAGTCGAAAAACCGAATCTCTCTTCTATCACAAGGTCTGCCATTATAAACAGGGAATTGATTAAAAGGTTGGACTCCCAAATTTTTTTCCCTAAAAGATGCCACTCTATCTAGGGACTCCACTTTGACTGGCAGCAGCTTAGCATCTTAATATGTTAAAACAATGATTAAATCCTGCACTAAAGAATAGCTGATTTAAGTATTTCACAGTCAAACATTACAGATTGTTTTAACAATAACAGAGTGAAGTGCCTCAGTCTACTTCATATGAGCTGGCTGATGACCATAAAAAGCTTGCAAACCATAGTGAAGATGGCTTATACAAAAAAGGTTTAAAATAGAAACCTGCCTTTGTAATACCAGTGACCATGTTCCATGCAAACAAATGTGGCCAGTACAAGGATGCCACACATCAGCACTTAAACCAGGTGGTTCCAGTTGTCATGGAAACTTAGTTACGTGTTAAACTAGTGTTACTAAATGAGATGAAAACGCTAACACCAAAAATACCCACTGTAATGTTCTCCTTAAGGAGAATTGAGGGTACAAAGTAGCTTATTGAGAACACAAGGAGTTATGCAATTTTAGACATTTGAACAGACTATTACATTTGGTATGGATAACACATAGAATCAAGGACCCTGAGAAAATCTTTAAAATATCTTAAATTATATAACTGGTAGCAAAGTGCAACATGGGGTCTTTCTGGATTCCTTTTAAAATGTGAACAATCAAACATAATTACTTTTGTCTCAAAAAGGAGTACAATGGTGCTTCTAGGCACCCTTCATTAAGACATAAAACCACTTAACTAAACAGTCGGCATTTCTCTGGGAGGTAAGGTTGTATGCTCCTTCCTAAGTAATAAAGCATTTCTTTCAGAAGTCCTTGTGATCCGCAGTCAGGGAACAGCAGTAGCAGTTCTACTGAGGAGAATTTTAAAAAACATGTAGGAGTATTTTTTTAAGTGCATGTCCAATAAGTAATGGGTTTCAACCATCACTGAACCTTACCTCCTCTGTCAGCATAATACTTGATAGAAGCACTTAAGGCTTAGGATTCCTTGCAAACTGCTGAGGGCAAAATAAAAGACAAGTACAGATCTGTCCTCATGAATGTGTATGTGTTTACTCCTCTGTCCCTAACCTTTTTCATGAGATGAATTTGACCCTTTTCCTCCTTCCTTCTGTCAAAATATTGCTTTGGAGTTTGGTGTGTTCCTCGAGTGACTAAATTTCTAATACAAGCTACCAGATTTTCTTGTGTCTGTCTGCTTTAATTCCAAATTTTAAATTCTGTCAGGGCAGACCGCATTGCACAAATTTAGTGTGCTGAAGGTTAAACTCTGCACTCTCCTCTTGAGCAAAATATCATGACATCTGCTCATTATCCAACACTTTTCGCGCTTGAAGCTCCCTGACAGACTGTCTCATTCACCTCTGCTTGACTCCAAAAGACAGGCACTGAGCTGGAGCAGTTCGTCATAGCTGGTCCATATCTTGCTGCATCTCCTTAAAAAATGACGCTGGTCAATCACAAATGTTCCTAAAGTACACTACTCAGCAATATAGCCTGAAGGCATTAAAATTAACGTCCAAGTGGGATGCAAGTAGAAAACTATGCTACCTGTGTTATCTTTTTATCTGATGAATAGCAGGTTAATTTAAAATAATACATTTCTTCCAAAACTGTCACTCACTGAAAACATGCTCACTCTGCAATCTCCTATTCTCTTTTACTACTGGGGAGAAAAAAAGATGAGGATGCATGTTAGAGAATGAAAAAGGGTCCTCTAACCATCGTGCATTTTGTACAGTGAATGTAACATTCAAGGGGGAAAGAAATAAAAAGCTTTTTCACTGAATCTTCAATAATAGGAGGTGAATGCCTGAGGCAGTGTTGAGGATTTGTCACTGGTAGCAAATGTGTTTCCCCTATGTGCCTTTGCTCTCCTGTGCTCTTTAATGCATGACACATGTTCGGAGGCAGACATCTTATGCTGTGCTTTCTCTCTCTGCATTTCCCGCTGATTCTTGTGTAGTGATTGTGGTGCTGTTTGCTGCCCTGAGGAGACAGAGGAAGAAGGAGCCTCTGATCATCTCCAAAGAGGATGTCAGAGACAACGTTGTCAGCTACAACGATGAAGGGGGTGGAGAGGAGGACACTCAGGCCTTTGATATTGGCACGCTGCGCAACCCAGAGGTGATGGATGCTAACAAGCTACGCAGGGACATCATACCCGAAATGCTGTTTCCCTTTCGGAGGACATCACCTATAAAGGATAACACGGATGTCAGGGACTTCATTAATGGGAGGCTTCAGGAGAATGATTCAGATCCAACAGCACCCCCTTATGACTCCCTGGCCACGTATGCTTATGAGGGCACTGGGTCACTGGCAGAATCCCTCAGTTCCCTGGAGTCCGCTGCCACTGAGGGGGACCAGGAATATGATTACCTCAGCAACTGGGGACCACAATTCAAAAAGTTGGCAGAGATGTACATAGGGAAGAGCCCTGGCAGAGAAACTTAGACAAAGATAGTCTCTCTTTTCCAAGTCCATGCTTCTCTGTCTGTTTATCTAGCTATCTGGCTAGCCAGCTATTTGTCTAGTCAGTTAGCTAGCCAGCTAGTTGACTGTCTGTCTGCCTATCAAGCTATCTATCTGTTTGTCTAGTTTGCTAGCTAGCTTGCTAGTTAACTAGTTGTCCATTTGATTCTCATAAATGTGTGTGCAGGCACAAAAATAAACAGACACACAGACACACACACACACACACACACACACACACACACACTTAAACAAAAATCACTGCTATCCACATGTGGATGCTAAAATGAAAATTAAGACTTGAACTGTGCAGAATTTTCTCTTAATGGAGATACAGTATAAATCTCAAAGTTTTACTGTTTTTGGTCATAATCAGTAAAGATGCCTTTGAATTTTAGGATTTTTTGTGAACAATGATGTGGACAATGTGTTTTGTAATTGACATGAGCGATAGTAGTATTGTATACTATCAATGTTTAATGGTACCGGACTGGGTTTGGGTGGGATAGGGATGGAGTCGAATGGCTTTTCGAGCCAGCTCCATTAAATACTGTACATGTACAAAATGTTTTTAACGATGGACATCCTATATACTATTTGCTATATCTGTTTGACAAGCAATGTTCATGTGAATGGTTGGTGCAGTTTATTTGTCAAACTGTGAATTCATTTCATCATATAGGTGTAACATGTAATGGAAAGTGTATGTTGTAGAAAACTGTCATACACTGAATTCATGCTGTTTGAATGCTGAGTCATATTGTTTTATATTTATATTTTTATACTTATTTTCTTAATAAAACAATGTAAAAAAGAAACCACACATTTCCAGTTACGTAATTTCAACTAATGTGGTTCATTAAACTGCTTTTGTGATGAAATACAGAAATAACCAGAGAACTGTAGCTATTCACTGAGTAAAAACATGTTGGATCTGATATTGACAAACTGTCTGAATTGAACAAATCTGTAAGAGGTACTAAACTGGGCTTGGCAGATATGATGTGTAAAATAACTGACAGTGTAAGAAGCGGGTAGTTGTGCTATAAATCACCATCCTGATAAATCTGTATTTGGAGAAATATGGAGTATTTAGAAAAGTACACAATTCAGAGACTCACTTCTTCTGATTTTCATTTGGATTTTCACGAAAGTTTGGATTTGAAAATGTATTTGGGTTTTGTTTTTTCCTTTCCCTTGCGGGCAGCAAACTGCGTTTTCCTAGAAACATTACACCAAACTCTATGTAGTTTATTTCACACTGATCTGCATTTTATTTTTAATAGAAGGTAACAGTGGGTGGCTTTGGAGAACCTCCCATCAATGTCTTTCTTATGTTGCTTCATTAGGTTACAGATCTTAACACCTACAATCTCACTGCTGTAGTGCCAGTTATGTAGGTGCCGTCCTACTTTTAAGCACTTTTCAGTATTCCAACCACACCAAGAGGAAGTACTTGCAAATTAAAACAGTTGTCAAATGCCTGTCTGGTCATTTATATTTTTATGTTCTGAAACATTTTTGCAGATCAACACATTTCTTCTTGACAACAATAGAGGTGCAACTGAAGTAACTTACCTCTGAAGAAAAGCTGAGCAAAGGGAAGTTGCATGGCTCTACAGTAATGGCTGCTTAATACCATCATACGTCCTATCATAGCTATTACCATATCAGAATGAAAGACATGAAAATTGAAGCTCTCATAGCACAAAACAGCTCAATGGTTCTTATGCAAACTGAAAATTCCAATATTTAAAACCATTTTGAAAGATACCTACAAATACTCTGTAGAAGTACCAACTATTTAGTTATGTACAAGCTGTCGGTCATCCCTAACAACAAAGATGTATTTCATAAGGCAGCTATTAATTGCATAATGTTAAGTGGTGATTATGTGCAAGCTAATAAATCTAATATAAGAGCTATAAAACCTTCAGTGAGTAGAAAGCAGAGATGTTAAATTTTCTATTCTGTGCAAAGACTTCATAAAAAGTTCAACCAACACCTCCAACATGTTCTGTACTGGATTAACTTTTATTTGATTTAATAGATGTAGACATTTTGTGTTAGGCACTTTGTTAAGTGCAATGTGCTTTCCAAGACTGCAGTCAACATAAGGAAACAATGCGTCTGCCCTTTTATCTGTGGTCATGACTTTTCTGTACGTGAGAGCAGACAGTTTGTTAACTTTAAAAAAAAAGAAAAAATAGACTTGTGGATCCAAGGTCTGTACAAAACCATAAGCAAGCAACTCTTGTTAACTTTCCGGCGTAGTTTTGACCACAATGATTTAGAGACAGCACATAGCATAACTGCTGCATAATTGTAATCATACATTTTTCTTATTGATCACCTTTCAGCTCCTAATAATGATGGGTGCTATTCATCAAACAAAGTATTTCAGCCTGCTGTTGTGATCAGATTATGATCTAGCAGATAGCAAGTCAATATGGTTATAACAAATGTCTTGAGACACATAAATGTTTCCTACACATCAGATCTTGGGTTAAAATACTTGAAATTCATGATCCATGAAAGACATTTTTTTAGGAGCACAAAATATTTGAATTATAATTTATATAATGTCACATTCACTGCTAAACATAGCAAATATTGCAAAATGTGATTAAAAAAAAGTGTTTTACCACAGGATTTGCAGGGGTACATTTATAGAGCTGTAGACCTTATAGACCTGTTTTAACTTGTCACATTTCTCTCATCTGAATGTGAGAGTGAATGAATAGTGGTATTGTTAAGCGCTTTGGGTTCCTTGAAAAGCGCTATATAAATCCAATCCATTATTATTATTATTATTATTTTTACCTTCCACTTCCTGCCAGGTTGCTGTAACGAATAGTTGTCGGTTCTTAGAAACTACCTGTTCAAACAGAAGTTACGCTGATTTGTTACACCTTGTTGGGAAACAAAGGGTGCTAACCCAGCCCTAGTTCAACTTGTGTCACTTCAACCCAATGCATAGATGCTTGGTACATCTTTCTTCTGCTGTTGATAGATTTAGTTCATTTTGGAAGGGTTTAAACCATTCTAAATACACTAATTTACAGTCATAAATGTTCATCAGTGAATGGAAAGCAGGCCTGTGAAATGATTTTGCCTCTCAAATGAATTTCATTCTTTGACCAGTGCAATGAATCAAAGGAAATATTCTGCATTTGGCCTCTAGTGCAGACACATGTGCCCAGTGTGGAGTGATTATTCTTCAACATTTTCATTAAAAGTGTATCGCCATCATGTTTTATGTCTAGCCACTAATTCAACCACAGTGAGCTCCAAATGTGGAGAGAAGAGAGCTGCATTTTTGAGTTTACACTGGCTTTTTGCACAGAAACTATTTTCTCTACCCATCATGCTTCACGCATGATTAGCACGTAAGTGGAGGATGGTTCTGTTGTTGTTCTAATAAAGGTATTTGAATATCATGTGGAATATTAGGTAATAGCATAGGACTGATGGTTAACCAACTGTGGGATTCTGTACTTTATGACTTCGGGTTAAATAAAAGAAGAGAAGAATCCATGCTACTTTTTCTGTATTTGACACGCTGCAGGATATGACCACAGAATCTGAGGTTTGAGGTTGTTTGCGTGATATTTTCACTGATTCCTGATTCTGTTTTTCATTCACTTTTTTAAACATCAGGTTTCTAAACACCGAAATCATAAACAAGATGTGGTTTTCTTGCTGCAAAGTGGCTACATCCATGACCTTAAGTTCAGCTCCAACTTACTAAGGTGCTATCCCATTGTTTGTGGCCAGCTGCTCAAAGATCATCACAACCAGGCTGCAGGCACCAGGTTAATGCAGTAACTTCAAGTCTTAAGCTTTGAGGATGTTTTTGTGCCCCCTGCGAGGCTTGTAAGAGACAGGCCTCGTGTCATGATTCATAATGCATGATGTGTTTTATGGGTCTATTGTGGCTAGAAAGACTAAAAGATTCAAAGTACCGCAATCAATAATGCAGGTGAAATATTGGTATGCAGACAAGATGTGACAGCACTGGCGAACTGCCTGAGGCTTTTTTTTCTTGACCAGTGCCTGCTCTATTAGAAAATGTCCTTTCTTGCACAACATTTTCCCAAACAACAAGCAGACAGTTACTAACGCTGCCTGTGTTTCATGGCTAAACTGTAACTAAAGAGACTTGTTTCAGTTTTTATTCCCCAACACACATTGATGATGTAACTGTCCATCTGGCTTCTTGTAAAGGCCTAAGTTAACCCACTTTAGTACTCTAACTGAAAGAAATGAAAACACCCATGTGCCACTATGAACTGATGTCAGAAATGTGCTGTGGAATGTTTAAAAGAAATCATGAACAGAATTTATTTTAACATGTAGTGCTGGAAAAACCAACATCTAAGGCTATAACCTATATTGATGTTACTTTTTCTTTGTTCGAAATTTCATGTTTTGCATCCATTTTATATTCGGTCTGGATTAGAAATAGATTTGCCCCTTGTTGCCAGGTTGTACACCTTAGGACAGACTGTCACATGTATGTGAGCCAGAGAAGTCACAGCATGACCCTGTATGGCCTTGTGAGGAGAACATAATTCTGTGAAGCTTGGTTGAATCCTGGGGTCCTGACATGTGATGACACCTGCTTTGTTTCTATTATAAGGTGTGGACTTTTGAGATTATGAACCATTTTCAAAGCACGTGTTTTTGAAATGAGTAGGAAATTATTCACGTAATTTATGTCTAATAAGATCCTGTCCTGAGCGTGTTTTTAGTGGTTACCAACTTTGAGCCACTTTTCCAGGTTTAGAGCAATTTCAGTGCATCACTGGCTAGTAGTCATGGACGTGGGTTGAACATTAAAAAAAAAAACAAAAATAAAAAACAAAAAAAACCACAAGGCAGCTTTTTTCCCCTCAGGAAAGGAAAATTACTTCTGAGCACAAGGGAATGCATCAGTGACATGGCATACTGCCTAGTTTGTTATAATTACAAGCAAAAGCAGCTCTGAATAGGCATCTTAATGACCAAACAAATTGTTGCATATTTCAAACCCATCTGGATAATTTCCTTAAGGGAAATGTAATTGCCTTCAGAAATGGTGAATGCTATCTCTGTTGCGTGCATGCATACAAACACGCATATAGCACCTGAGATGATACGTAATGACTCTTTAATCACTGCCAATGAAATGGTTTCCTGTCAGGATTAATACAATACAGGTGCACACGCGCCTGTCTTTTGTTTTTCTTTTAATTAGGTATGCAAGAGTTTATTTAGTGTGGATTTGAGACACAATTTACTACACTTTTTTGGGGATATCATGACATTTTTAATGGGGAATTTTTCAAGCAGATATTCAGTACTGTCCAGCAGTGCTGGTTTGTTAAGTACTGTGGAAGGAATTACAGTATTAACCTGCCATCTCTGAAAATGTTGTTCAATAATGTGCTTTAAGAATACAGCACATTACCATGTGAACAAGAGACATCTTCAATTAGTATTTGGCTCCATCTCCTGGAAAACTCCAACAACAACATTCAGATGACGCACTACTTTTGTGATTTTATTTACAATTGTGCAATATATGTGATATTTTATCTGAGGTATGCAGTTTTCTGCAATGCTATCGCCCTGGCGACTATGTAAATGATACAGTACCAAAGTAAAATTGGCATCTAATCTGGTTGAGGGAAACAGAACCTCAACCAGATGTATGCAGATGTATTTAACATGAAATATTTTTTTAGAAGAGTGAAACTGCTGAATGCTTTATTTGTCTATGGCCAGTATTACTTACTCAAAAAAAAGTATAATTAGAATGGAAAATTCAACTTGAATTTTAATGTCTATGAAAAAATACATAAGATTTGAAAAACTACTAATTTGAACAATCAAAGTTACAACGTCAACACA